CACACAGAGCGCGCTCAGATCTGATTGTCACTCGGTGAAAGCTCGAGCGGCTCTCTGCAGCCCGTCATGAACTCTGTACGTGAGTTTGTGAAGTTCTGCAGCTGCGACAGCTGACGCTTGAACAAAGCTGGTGGAAGAAGAAAACCAAAAGCAGCTTCAGGTCCAGTTCTTCCTGCAGAGGTGTGTTTGTGGGCAGCTGGGATTCCAGTGTTTCAGCTTTTACAAAAATCTGTAGAGAAATGCGAGTTTTCTTCTTCTCGATGCATCACGCGTGTCCTCCACAGAGGTTCGGTGAAAGACGAGCCCACATCACAGAACGTCCACGGTCCCTTTCAGTTAGAGACCCACCGACGGGTGAAAGAAAGACACTCAGATCCTGTATCAGTGAAAGCTGTGAAAGGTTTTCAGATGAAAGCTTCACATATATTTGTTTGGAGTTCAGAGATAAATCTGACGATGTAACTACAGAGAAGGTCCTCTGAGCTTTCTCAGTCCTGATGACCTCGCGCTTCTGTGGCCATGAAGCATCCAGAGAAAGACAGAGGTCGCACGAATCAGCACGAATTAAACTCGGCTCACACTGGTGAACTCTTTGTTGACTGCAGAGGTGGCTTCAAAGGAAGCTCTTCTCCACCTCTGCAGTCTTGACTTTGCACTCACCACCCACAGCTGGTGGTCTCGGGTGGAGGTGTGAATGGCCAGCATCATATGCATGAAGAAGATCCAGAAACCACAACCCGGAAGCTTCTGTGTCCACAGTCGTGAAATGATGGTGATGAAGGGAGTGCAGCTATGGCGACGCCCTGCACCCTCTGGCTCTGTTTTACTCACATCTTTGACTTCAGAGTTAAACTCTGAGGCGACGCGTTAAACCGACGCCTGGAGGAATATTTGCTGTTGTTCCAAAGTTACTCCAAACCTGCGAGCTCACTCCCAATTCAAGGAGCAGCAACAATGTTTGCTCTAAAAATATCTCTTCTATTAACTTTGGGAGTGAAAGTGGAAAGCAATAAGCTCGGTGACTCGATCCCTCGGATGAATTCAGGAGCACCTCCCGTTTTATTAAATCAGGACTTATTACACAGGAAATGATTCAGGCGAGCAGCGACGAGGGAAACAAACGTTGGGAATATTTCAGAGAGCACTCACTTTTTCCTGGTGTCGTACCTCCCCGAGGTTCCCGGGCTCTGCGGAGGACACAGAGGAGAAAATGACCAATCTCTATGCAGGATCATGCAGAGCAGTGACACACATTAAAGCACCTCTATTCCACTTCACGCCACGTTTCTGCAGAGGAAATCGCGTTAATGCGTCCCCCTCTGCAGCAGCGTCTCAGCACTCGTCCACTCTCACCGCCTCCACTCACTCCTTTTATTCACCGCTTACCACAGCGCTGATGACATCACAGATCTCAGGTGAAACAGAAGCAGGTGCGACTGTGAGAAAGTACCCGCCTCCTCCCTGCTCTCCTACTTTTCTGCATATTTGTCTCGCTGACATGTTTCAGACCATCAAACTCAGAGAAAACCAGAGTAATGCACTTTTTAAACGATGATGTCATTCATCGAGGGAAACCACCTGAGCCGTCCTCAAACCTGCAGCCTGCTGTCTGTGACCACGTCACTGTGCAGGAGCTTTGGTCTCCTTCTTTGCAGACCCATTGGAGGGTTTCCAGCCTGAACAGGTTAAGGTTTCTGACTTTGACTCGGCCACTTCACAGCCTTCGTTTTGGTCTTCTGAGCCAATCAGAGGTGGGCTTGCTGCTGTGTTTCTGGTTATTGTCCTGCTGCATAAGCCCAGTGCCCCTGAGCCTCTGTAACTGATGGTTAGACGCTGCTGCAGCTGCAGACCATCACACCACCACGTCTGACTGTGATGGTGGTGCAGATGTAAGAGGACTCCAACACTCCAGGAAGTCATCCACAGAAGATTTCCCAAAGAGAACATATGAAAGCACTAACACGGAGGATGTGAGGAGGAAACAGACATTTTATTTAAATAACAAACCACAGAAACAAACAGGAACTGGCTTCTGTTTCCACTGTCACCGTGTTGATCTGTGTTACACACCAAACAACAAATAAGCTAAAAATCAAAACGTCTCTTCCAGCCAACATTAAAAAAGTCTCTTTAGTGTGATTTGGTGCAATAAATAAATGAATAATCCAAAAAGCAGTTGTATTAATACTGAAACAAGAAGAGGAGCTAAAACATCGCCCAGCCTTAAGCAGGAGGCTCCATTCTCACGGTCAGGAGCAGCCAGGTTACCCCACTCAGGACGACAACACCGGTGCATTTTTACCACACCCACCAGAGGTCGGTGTCACCCAAAACACTTCTACACGAGGTCAGCCTCGAGGTCGGCATTATTGGTCAGATGATGTCATTAAAATGCTTCACAAGGCTCCGACAGCACAACCGCAAACCAGAGGGCCAGTTCAGGTGAAGCCACAGGCCACGCCCAGGGATGGGAATCGTTAGTCTGCCTGTTGATCCTGCTTATCAGCTAATCAGCTGATTCCAGTTCACGTGTCAGAGGAAATGGCGACGCAGTCTGGAGCATATAAGGACATTTTTGGTTCAAGCTGCATCTAGGACAGAAACACGAGCATGGTGCTGCTAACACTGCTAATGCTGCTAACACTGCGCTTCTTTGCAACCTGCACATACAGCATGCTAACACTGCTAACACTGCTAACACTGCGCTTCTTTGCAACCTGCACATACAGCATGCTAACACTGCTAACACTGCTAACACTGCTAATACTGCGCTTCTTTGCAACCTGCACATACAGCATGCTAACACTGCTAACACTGCTAACACTGCTAATACTGCGCTTCTTTGCAACCTTTTGCATACAGCATGCTAACGCTAAGCTAGCCAAGAACCCAGAGTGAGCAGAGCGAATGGCGACGCCCGCAGCCGGCGCCTGAACTAAAAAACAGGAACAAGCAGATGATGAGGCAGAATTTTTAAAGCAGAATCACCGTGACGATCGAGTGCCTGTGCTGGTTTTTATGTTTGCTCTGAGTTACTAAGATCTGAGAGACGCGTGTCCTCATCAGGGACTCGTGTTGGCGTGCGCTGGAGCCTCAAGTTTATATTAAATGGTGATTATGAGACGGCGTGTTTGAACTATATTACAGAGTAACATCAGAGTAACTTCACGAGTATAGCAAATGACCTTTTCTCAGGAGTAATGAAGTAACATACTGCATTACTTTAAAGAAAAGTGTTCTGTGTATTCTGTGTAATAGATTACTAGAGTAATCACAACAAAGAAGGTAATACCTCAAGCACGCATGAACGTTTGACCCGCAGCATGCAGTTCATTTGCATTATGTCATTTCTTGATTGCTGCGTAGCGCACAGCGCCTCTGCAGGACACCAGAGGAACTGCAGGTTTTGGTGCTTTCTTATATTCGTGATGTTGTAAAAACGTTTAAACACTCGGTCACGTGTCACGTCGCGTCAGATGCGTTTAGACGTGAGCATAAAATAAATGTGAGGTGCTTCTGAGCTGCTGTGTAATCACCGGTGTTGCTAATAAACCTGTTCAAACATCAGCAGCCCCCACCTGCTCCCCTCTGGGGCAAATAAACAGTGTTTGCTGAGTCTGTCCGTGCATGAAGGATGCAGGAGGAGGAGGAGGAGGAGGGGGTCGGATTGATTCAGGGTGAAAGTATTCAGTTGCCTTGACGACCGGAGAGGACGCTGCAAGGGAAAATTGCTATCTGTACGCAGTGCTTCGGCTCGCTGAGACGCTGGAAGGCCTAAAGATGCTCAAACAATACGGCGCCCGGCGGGGCTCCACCCCCGACACACTGAAAGACTGTTCTCCTCAGCTCAGTCAGACAGAGGGCGTGCTTTTAACAGTGTTTAATGTTCCTGCACCTCTCTGTGCCAGCATGAACCCCCACCCATCCTCTAAACCCCCACCCCTCCTCTAAACCCCCACCTGCAGGAATAAACCCCCACCCCTCCTCCTGCAGGAATAAACCTGGCCGCTCAATAATCACACTAACAGCTGCTTCGTGTTTCATGAAACCAGCAGCTCTTTCAGGTATTTCCTGACAGCGAGTTCACGCCCGTGAGCGGCTCGGCAGCGGCGTGTCGGGGTAATGGGCGTGACCCGCCCTTCATCGGGTTCAGTGCTGCTCTGAAAGCGTCCATCGCTGTCCGTGATTTCTCGGCACGCCTCGTTCCTGCAGAAAGGTGCTCCTTACTTCAGACGCTCTTCCTCCGATTCGACGAGGGCGTCCCGGAGGCTTTGTTCTCGCTGCCTGTAAGACGAGGTCATCGCTGAGAGTCGCAGGCAGAAGAACGACTGGCTGAGTGCGATCGCTGAAACAAACCCGAGGTCTGAGCTGACTCCAGCTGTTTCGAGTCAGCTGAAGGACTTTGGCGATGCAGCGGCGAGCGCGACTCTAAAGTCTGAACAAAAGCAGGCCAGCAGCTTCAGCTCTTTGTTCCTGTCAGCGTTCGCCACAGACTTCACCGGCCTCTGAGTTTAATTGGTCACCTTCACCTCCTTTTCTCTGAATCGGCCCATTTCCTGTGAGGAGCTTCCTGCCAGAGGACGGCCTCATTGATCAGGACACGTGCACCTGCGCGATCAATAATCATGGATGACCTCATTAATGTGCAGAGCAGCACAATATGAAGACGTTCTTTGTCAGGATCAGATTTCTGAGGAGGTCAGGTGTGTCGTTATAAGCATCAGCACGTTTTAGCAGAGCCTCTCAAAGTCGGCCTCTGATTGGCTGGGGTGCAGTGATGGAGTCCCTGTGGAAAGGTGAAGAAAGGTTCAGGTGTGTGCCTCTAAAGCCCTTCAGATCCTGGCAGAGGTGCTCAGAGAACAAAGAGGCGGAGGCTTCCTCCTTCACTCTGCTGGTATTTCTCTGAATGTCAACACGCCCGGCCGGCCCGTCTTTGTTCGCGCTCTAATGTCACAGGAAGTTGTAGCGCAAAGAGGTGGGGGTGACTTTACTTTCAATTAATGCCGCCGGCTCTGACCTTTCTGCTGGTGTTCATAATTTTACCTCCTTTTGTTTTTCTCTGCTGTGAAAGCAGAGCACGTCTTCCTGTTCAGCTCAGAGTCAGAAACACGAAGCTTCACGGAGACCGTTTAAAAACACTCAAATCTTCTGTGTTTGTGTTAAAAACGTTGTGCTAAACTTTCATGTAACACCAGTTTCAACCACAAGATGGAGCAGCGCTGTAAATGCCACACTTTCATAGTGGCGACATGAAAATAAAAGGTTATGCAGCTGCTCTCTCTGCCTGCAGAGGGCATGTTTCGGTTGTTCCGCTAACGTCCACCAGGGGGCAGCAGTCAGCCTGCATTATTAGCAGTGGAATGGATGACATCATGAAGGCTATCTTTTAGCTACAGTCTTTTGCTGCGAGGATAAAAACAGCTGCTTCTTGGAGAGTTTGACTTCAGCAGACAAAAAGAGCCGCTGGCATCTGTCACTCGCTCACATGCTTTTATCTTTACAGTACTTTATCAGCTGTGAGGCGTCATCTGCCTCACTCGGAGTGTAAGCAGAGGAGGAGAGCCTCTCTGGGCTGATGCTGAACATCTGTATCGATACCCAGCTCGATCTGCAGTGATCAGACCTAAAGGGACCTCACTGCCTGTTAAGCGTCACCGCTAATTTGAACTAACCTCCTGTTCTCCTGTACGCTCGCCACGCGGCGGGTGGACGGTGCTGACTGCAGAAGCCCCTCCCGCTCCTGCTTCTCTTCTCTAATGTGAACAAGGCTTTCTGTGTAGCCGCCTGTTGGCCTCTCCTCGGGCGAATTAGCCCTCCAATGCCGGCATTCATGGCCGGGCGGGGAGCCCGCAGACGGGGGAGGCAGAGCCCCCCCTCCTGGCAGGGCCCACCCGCTGGGGGACTGACAGGCTGACTGCCGTGGTCACAGATGTCATGCAGCACGGCGGTCCGGCTCTCAGGTGCTGCTCACAGACAGGCGGCGCCATCAGACCCCACATTAAACCTTAATGAGCTCCACCACAGCCAGCGTAAGAAAGGTCAGAGGTCAGCAGCGTGAGCTGTGAGGTCATTGATCCAAAGTTAGAACAATCATCAAAACTATCTACCACCAGCAGCACGACCTCCTACTGCGCGCTGCCTGCACGCTGTCCCGATGGGGGCGTCAATTTTTACTTGTTGTGACGTGTTCTGTGTCCGACACGAGACACGGAGGCCACAGCGAGCAGTGAGGCCTCTCAGGACGACCTTTGACCTCTTCCAACCTGATTTTTTATGCTTGAAATGTAATTGCACTTTAATCACACTACACTAATGTAACTGCACTATTGTACTTCATCACACATGACCTGATGGATTTATTACACATAAATACTAACTCACTGTAATGTAATTAAAATAATTATACTTGAATATTTTAATAAATATGTAATTTTTTCAGTATGTTAGTAATTATTAAACTTTAACTACGCGATATTTAAAAAAATACCTATTTATTACATTTGTAATTAAACTACATTTGATCATATTAAATTATAATACATGTTGTTTGCAGTGTTAATTACACCAGCGTACGTCAGTCACGATGTAACCACAGTAACATTTTTGTTTACACTTTGTTACAATGTAAAGTAAAGTTTAAAGGTACAAGTGAACGAATAACTACACTGTAATTAAACTACTTTGTTATTAATTAATGTATTTAGACTGGAAACAATTGCAGACATCCTTTTCTTCTTCTTCTAGCTGCTTCCTTTAGGGGGCGCCACACTGGACCATCTGCTCCACCTCCTCCTGTCCCAGCAGCCCTCTGCACGTCACTCACTATGTGTTAACAGACCTCTCTGCACTGAATCATACCTGTTTATCCTGTCTTCCTTCTCTCACCCCAACCAATCACAGCAGAAGGCCCCGCCCCCCTGAGCCTGGTTCTGCTGGAGGTTTCTTCCTGTTAAAAGGGAGTTTTTCCTTCCCACTGTCGCCAAAGTGCTGCTCATAGGGGGTCATGTGATTGTTGGTGTAGTACTGTAGGGTCAACCTTACGACATAAAGCACTTTGAGGCGACTGCTGTGATTTGGTTTATAAATCATTTGAATTTCTTCTTCTTATGGTTGAAGTCGCAGCGTCACAGAGCGAAGGTCTGATCGACTTTAATGTTTTGGGTCATGCCTGACGACTGCAGAGCATTTCTCTGATCATCATCACCACAGGTGTGCACGTACTGGGAGGTGTACTGGGGGGTGTGGTTACATTAATGGTGAGGAGTGAAGCTGTGGTTTGCGCGCAGCCTCAGCATGCAGCGGGTTAATGCGGCGCTGTCATGAGGGGAAGGCAGACTCCAGCGCTCCACAGCCTGTTTTTTTAAGGATCAGCAGTAATAAGACGTCGGGCTGAATTTATGAGCTAAGATTTTGCGGAAGGTGATTCATGGAGGATTTGGAGCGGAGCTGATATGATTAGTCCCGCGGGAGCACGGACGCTCAATACAGCACTGTGTGAGTGTTTGTGTACAAAGACGGCGAGCGGGCCACAGAAAAATGTCAGAGTAAACAGGAGGCGTGCACAGAGCCCGCCTGTGTGCACGCCTCAGCCCACATCACCCCATCGCGGAGTTGAGGACGCCGAACGCGCTGCTGCTGACTGAACGTGTCACACAAATAAAAGTCCTGCAAACACTTTAATGAAGTTACTGTTCCCTGAAAGCTCCTACAGTGGGGCAAAAGCACCAGCCCTCTGCTGATTGGCTGTTTAAACATGCGGTTGTTCACTCAAAACAATCAGATAAATGAATCCACACACAGGAAATCTCTCTGCGAATGAGTCGTCCATCACTGTTTTACCTTGGATCAGCTGACCACAGCCTGCTGCGTGCAGCGACCAGCAGATGCTGCTCCAATCAGCCGCTGCTCCAATCAGCCGCTGCTCCAATCAGCCGCTCCCAAAACATCCACCCGTTCAATCATTTGTGTCATTTATTCAGTTTCACAGGTAAAAAATGAGTTTTTAAAACTCACAGCTGAAGGATCACCAAACCCCACCGAGCTCGCCCGACATCATCACGATTGTTCGGTGACAGTAAACGGGGCTGTTTGCTGTGACATCATCACTGTTTAAAATAACCAAGAAGAAAAACCTTAAACCTGCGCTCCCTCTAACGCCCAGCAGGGGGCGACTCCTCTGAAGTCTGTGAGGAAATGAGCCAGCTGAACTGCTTCCTGATGATGTTCATGTTAGAGTCATGAAGGAGCAGGAAGCAGGGGGAGGAGTTTAGAGCAGGCAGGTGTTCGTTAACTGGTCTGAGGGGCGGGGACCTGGAATGAGAGTCGACGAATCAGGTGTCACTAAAACTCAGGATTTAGATGGCTCGCCTGGGAAATCTTCCTCCTGGGGCTCAGGTACGATGAGTACCAGCCCTGCGTACTCAGCAGGGGGAATCATCGCTTCCTGCAGCAGCTGCAGTCAAACAGGCCCAGCGGATGAGGAGGGCGCCCCCTGCTGGTGCTCAGGAGGAGAGGCCTGTTACTACTGATGGTTAAAACGTGACATGAAGCTCACAGAGGCAGGAAACACGGACGTATGGAAGCTCATCGCAGCCAGTGAGGAGTTAAATTATTCTGTTTTAATGTTAATAATTTTACATTTTTACCAAAACTGGGACTAAAACAAAACCAACTGAAATTAATTTTGTTTTTATAAATTAAGAATTTCAACTTGATTTTTAAATAATTGTTTTGATTTTTTTAGTTGTTGTTTTCTAAGATTTTGTCTTTTTTTACCTGAAACTCTGATTTAATGTCAGAATCTTTGATTTTCTCTAGTAAATGTTGTAAGTTTTAAAGTAACGCGGTGTTCCTGTACAAGCCGCTGAGCCGGAACAAACAGACTTCGGTGTGACATCACAGCGCCGCGCTGTCGGGGTCACGATTCCCAGAAAGCTGCAGTTTAACGGCTGAACGCAGGAGCGGGATGTGTTTATGGTGCAGGTGGAGGTGGGGAGGCGTCCCCGCCCCGTGCGCAAACAAAGGCGCCGTTTCCCCGGGTTTATGACGGGAGCGCCGCTGAGTCACCGGGATGTTTCTGTGCCGTGAGCCGGACGCCGGCGTTGCCTGGAGATCATTTACAGACACGACGGAGCGGACGGAGGAGGAGGAGCTGCTCCGCTCACAGCGAGACATCGCTCCATCAGTCTGTGTTATCACTAATCTGGCTGCTGATTGGACAAAAACACGAAACAGTTTGTTGGCTGAGAGAGAAAAAGAGCGAGCGGAGGTTAGGAATCATTCCCAACCTGGAGACGAATGCAGGACAGCGTTTCAGCGACGGAGTAACAACCTCGTCAGCTGAAGCTCAGGACGTCTTTCTGCCTTCAAGGCCGCTTTAGGCCACACTGAGGCACAAACATGTTTTTGTTTTTAGCTGCAGGTGACGAAACCGACCGAACATCAAAATTAGTCCTGAGATTAAAGCTCAAGATGATCTATCAATGGATCCAGCGCGGCTCACAGAGCGAGTCTGGGCGCTCCTTTGATGGTGACGATGATGGAGGCGGATCCTTTTCCTCCTGTTTCCTGATGTGTGTTTCATGATTTCAGCTCATGATGTTTCTCCTGCAGTTCCTCTAACGCCCACCAGAGGCTCCAGAAGCATCGCTGCAGTGTCCAGGAAATAGACTGGTCCTGCCCATGGATCGTAAATGTGTTTCACGTTTTTCTTTTGTCTTCGCATCATAAACTCATCCTGACGTCAGCATCGATCGCACCTCTGCTCGGGCGGATCGGCATGTCCTCCCTCATCGATGCAACAATGACCCACTCCTCTAAAGCCCGCCCACTCTTTTACAAAGGAACCAATCCATCTTCCTCGTTCCTGTGACATCACAGCAGCGGTGGGAAGATCCGCTCCCTCCCACCGTCTGACTAATTAGAGCTGCTGGAGGTGACCAAAACAGGCGCCAGAGCCACGCGCGTGACCTCTGACCTACACCGAGGTGGACACAGTGGGCGGGGACAGCGAAGCGCCGCGGTGTTTCTCACTGCTGGCAAAGGTTTCCCTGTTGAAGCTGCGTCAAACGTGAGGCTGACTCACCGCGGCACGAGGCTGGTCGAGGCGGCGCCGCTGAGAGTCTGACACACAACAAACGCTCCGAGCACAGAGGCGACCACGAGAGCAGCTACAAAGATAAAAGCTGTTCATCGGGAAACAGTCAGCTGTGTTTCCCACAAACAGCTTCCTGTCCTGTTCTGATGATTAAGCTGGGGTCAGAGGTCAGCTTTAGTGAACGTAATCAGATAAGAGGAAATCCAGACTTACGTGGATGCTGCGGAGTTTCTTCCGGCCTCTCTCCAGCCGGCTCAGCAGCCTCAGGTGTCGCTGCTCGCCGCCCACCGGCTGCAGCAGACGGTCGTCCACCGAAATCGTCTTTCTCAGCAGCGCCCGGTCTGTGGCCCACGGCAGGGAAACTCGCGCCGCCTCCCCCAGGGGAAGACTCCTCGCACCGGCTCCTCCTCCTCCACTCCTCCTCGACCCCGGGGACGGATCAGGTGACCAGAAGTCCCGCTGAACAGAGCCTGCAGAGAAACCAGAGCCCTGCTGCGTCAGGGGGGCGGTGTCATGTTCCCACTCACCCACAGCGTGTGTGTGTGTGTGTGTGTGTGTGTGTGTGTGTGTGTGTGCGTGCGTGTGTGTGTGTGTGAGAGAGTGGGTCAGGTGTAAGCTGACCACCTGAGCTGCTGCATTAAAACTACATGAGGAGGCCGAGGGCGTCGGCAGCTTGTGGCTCGACGTCGACCTTTTTAACCAGAAACAAAGCGGCGCTCACTGAGCACGTGCAGATCCACAGCAGCCTGCTGCGTGTCCACACAGCTGCACACACACGTCACACTCAAACGTTATAATCAACATCTGGTTGAACATCAGCACGAGCTCGAGCGAGAGAAAAGAGGAGGAGGTGGGTGACAAGGCGGCTTGCAGCACAGACCACAGCTGGCACAGCTGTGTGCCCACTTTCATTTTCTCAGATGTAAACTCTCCATTTGTTACATCACTTCCTGTGAAACGTTACAGCTAACTAAGTGAAACATGACAGGTTATCCAGGTTACTTTTTACCTGAAGTTGATTTCTTTGAATAAATAAATCAGACTTGATGTATTTCAGCTGCAGTTGACTCTGAGTTATTGTGTTTACTGGTGCTCAAGAACACGACGGAGACGGAGGCACGTCTGTTTGCTTCCACAGGTGCGTGCGATGAAACGTGAGCCTCACCGCGGGCCGTGTTCAGGTTAACGCTGGAGGTAAGGCACCAAACCAGGCAGCAGGATAAATGTTTGATGAGGAGGAAATCCACTCAGCTCGCCTGCGAGCGCTCACAGATGAACACCGAGTGCAGACAATCGATTTCATTCACCAGGAGAGGTTTGAATCCGCTCGAGAGAGCGCCTGGTTCATGAACGGGAGGAAGGTTTGAAGGCTCATTCTGCGTCCTCAGCTCTGTGTCATCGCCATGCCACCACGCCACCACGCCAAGACGCCCTCATGGCTTCAGCCATCAGACACCCGACCACAAACTCACTGTGGGCGCAGGACATCAGACCGAACAACAACGAAGCGAACCGGCCCTGCGAGCGCCACACAGAAAGTCCCACAAACCATCAAACAGTGAAGGCCACACGTGCTGTCACAGTGATGGCGAGTGGCCACCAAAGGCCATCCCTCTCGCCGTGCACCGCCTCAGAGGGTGCTCGCTACTGCTCCGTGTGAGGAGGCCAAACACAGAGCGTCACCTGCTCCTTCATCACGTGTGACTGTAGAACAGCTTCACCATCTTCCACCACCCAGGAGGTAAACTCTCCTTATAAGGAAGAATGTGGGCGTGGCAGCACGCAGGTGTGTGGATGATCCTGAAGACAGGAAACATGAAAGCGCTCACGCTTTGAATCATTTATGAATAAAGTCTGTGTGAAGCTGATCAGCACAGCTGCTCTTCCTCACTCAGCTGGAGTCACAGCTCCCTCTGCTGGACACACAGCACACCAGCACCCAGACACGACTGCAGGAAGTCAGAGAGGTGAGAGTAAAGCGAGACACTCACTGCAACTTCCTGTTGAAGGTTGCCAGAGTAACACGAGCCGCTCCTGATTGTGTTTTGATGTTTACAGCGGCCACGAGCTGCTGTCGCTCTTTCTGGGTCTTAATAAAGATTGATTTTGACCATGAGGAGACAATCTGTGTCTTCACTTCCTCTTCTCTTATGTGTCTCAGCTGAAGGACGGGAAAGCTCTTCATCCTCAGCTTCCTGTTTCAGGCTCTGAGGATCCTGTTCTCTCTTTTCTGCTTCACATCAAAGATTTTTTGCTGGAAAACTTTTGTCTCAAACTTTTGTTGGTGTTGCATTTTTCCTCTGAACATCTTATTTTGAAGGTTCCTTCACTGAGGTCACCTGGGAGTTTCAGGGTTTACCTGATTTTAAGAAGCAGCTGGTCTGCTCACTGCCTCTGGGGGGCGCTGCAAACAGGATATCAGGATAAAGGATAACCAGCTCAGGACTTCCTGTTTATGAAGCAGGTCGGTGTAAAAAAGCCAGTGACCTTTGCTCTTTAACACCTGAGAACAGGAGATGGGCGGAGTCCTAAAGCACAGCTGTGGTGTCACTGATGATAAAACTGGTTCAGAGATTTAGCCCCGCCCCTTCGTGGACTTTCACTGAAGTTACCTGTTACCTGCAGCGCTCTGAAACTCTAATGATCCACCTCAGGCTTTATCTCTGCATCAGCTCATTAACTCCACCCAGAACCAGCAGCAGCTGCACCACCTCGGACACCATGTTTATCTCACACTGAGGTTTTTATCCAAACGAGGCGCCGCAGCCTGGGCGGGCGAGGAATCAGCAGGACAGATCAGAAAAGACGGGAAACCTGCGACGTGAAGCTGAGAAGCAGCTCAACCCTGCAGTCTGAGGAAAGCGCTGAGATCAAACACCTGATGGATGCTGTGCCGTAATCTGCTCGACAGGAAGCTCGTTATCATTCTCCAGAAGGGTGGAGCTAAAGAGAGCAGAGCGACACACAGGAAGTGGAGCCCGGTAAACAAAACGCCGCTCGGAGCCATTAGAGACATTCCTGACTCGACGGCGCGCCCACAGCTCCGCTCCAACCCCACGTCCAGTCTGCCGGCAGCTACAACCTCCACCCACGACAGATCTGTCTCTGTGGGTGTGGGAGAAACTGACGATGACCACAGGGCAGAGGGGCTCAGCCTCCGTCAGCCTCCGTCAGCGCCAACACAGACGTCTCACTGCTGATTTTAGCTCTTCACCATAAACAATAAATGCAAGTATCAGAAAAAAGGCCGAGAACTTCCTGTTTGGCTCATTTTCTTCTTCGTGTACTTTTTTAGCCTCGATTTTGTATTAAAGTCGAGTTTTTCTCTCGATGTTTATTAACACGTCTGCACTTCCTCATTTTCTTATTACTTCTCACTTCCTGTTTTATTTTGGTAGTCATTTGTGTCACGTGTTTACTTCCCCCGTCCTCACTGATGGTTTCACCTGTTTGTTGTTACCCAGGTGTTTCAGCTCCTCCTGTTTCTCTGAGCTGCTGCATTTACTTACTTTATAATTAAAAGCTTCTGGGGTCGGCGATGCCATTAAGCATGTCCACACAGGAAGTGACGGACAGCGATACCGCGACCAGAGACCCACTCCTTCTTTCAGCCTCCACCTATCCCAGCATCCTCCTCCTGCCTGGCAGCTCCACCTTCAGCCTCCACCCCCTCCGTCTGCCCCTCTGATGGACTCGTTTCTGATCTCGTCCCAAACGCTGGCGATACCTGATCAATCTCTTCTCAACTTTAAATGTTAAAGCATACTGCTGATTACAATGTTACCTAGGCAACCGAGCGAGCGAGCCTTCAGTTTAATGCCCTCTTAGAAAGTCAGATCTGACCTTTGACCTAATCTCACTGTGTCCATGTAGACGTTCAGAGGAGACACACACACACACACACACACACACACACACTGGCTGTTGTTACCTGAAGAGGTCCAGTGGAGTCCTCCAGGACTGGCAGCGAGACGCCGCCGCTTCCTGATGCTGACGCCGCTGTGGGAGGCGGAGTCTCGTGTGTGAGTGCCATAGCTGGACCGTGAAGCGGCAGCAGCGGGAGGAGGTGCAGGGGTGGAGGAGAGGATGGGGAGGAGGGGTGTGGACAGACAGGCCGCCTCCTTCGTCAGAGTAGGCGTGAGGAAGGCGGAGTCTCTTTCTGACGACCTGCAGGGATCCGAGGAGAGAAAAGTCAGCACAAAATAAACACGACACGGAGAACTCCTCCTCTACTCTCTCGTTTCACCTCCAGCCAGCCAATCAGAGACCAGAAAATAACCACAGCCAGGATGAGTCCAAAGACTAAGGGTCATACGACTGCAGTGGTGGGTGGATGGAGGGTCTGCCAAGAACTTCACCTCAACACCAGAGGCTGGACTTCACATCCACATGTTTACCTGAGGCACAGGTGACGGTGGCGCAGTGGGAGGAACAGGTCCTTATCTCCGATCTGATATCTAACGCTGCTGACTGGGCTCTTAGCTGATCTCTTCCTCTGTGGTCCTCACATCACCGAGCTGTTTAAGCAACTGGAAACACTTTATTCAGGAATACTGTGACGAAATGTCCTGTTTTCATCAACACTTTGGGAATAAAGTATCCACATGGTGTCCCTGCCACACCAACGCTACAAATCCTGTAAAAAACCTGGAAGAAGTTTAATGTATTTCCCATTAAACGAACACAG